CAAAATAATATTTAAAATGAATGACCTACATACATCTGTATATATGCATGTATAAATATGCCAAAGTTAATATTGGAAAAAATAATAAGTTAAAGGAAAAAAGTATGATACAATTTACATAGAATTTACAAACTTGTACAACAGTATATGTGAATTATGGAAAAAAATTATATAGTAAAAATATGAAGAAATGCATGAGAATTGCTGTAAAAATTAAATTAAAGCAATGGTAACTTTTCAAGTATATGGAATTACAAAGGGCAACAGAAAAAATAAACTAGATTTTTAGTTTTATTTCCTAAAATAAAAAATCTGAAGCAAATGTGGCAAATTGTTAAGATTTGACCAAGTTAGATGGTGGGTATAGGATGTTATTTATTTTATTCTCTATATTTTTCTTACATTTAAATTATATGATGATATAAAAAAGACAACCCAATGGACATTTAATTCTTCATTTAGTGAGCAGATAGTCTACTTTTTGTGAACCCAAGGGTATTATAAGTCCAATACAAATCTTAGAGAATTAGTGACCACTACATTTGTATTTAACATCCAGTTACATGCTCAACATTTTATAGACATATTAAGAGATAATATTCTAAGTTAATACTTTCTCTTGTCACAAGTGATCACACGATATTCTCTTTCAGATTAAAACATTACTACTTATTGTAAATAGATATAAGCTTTGACAAGTTTTTCTAGAATTTGTCAAGAACTTTACTGAGCCAGTTCCCCTTTTGGGTAAAGGCAGATTATCTAGGCAAAATAACCTGGTTTCCTTTCCCCTAAACTAATCATCACTTATGGTGACTGAACCAGCAACTGTAGCCTCTTACCATAAAAAAAAGCAAAACTATTTACTTTTCTGTTTGTGACAGGAGATTCTCTGCATTATCTAGGCTTTTGAAGGGCTTTTTGAAGGGCTCTGAAAAGTTAGAAAAATTCATGGACCTGCTGCAGTGAGATTAATGAGACTCTGCAGAAGAGACTTGGAACTTAGAAGAGATGAAAACTACAGAGGTGCTAACTCAACCATGTCAGCCTAAGTGTGCTGTCCTGACTCCCCACCACACCAGGCCAGTGGCATTCAGACTCTTTTGATGGTGATATGTGTGTTCCTTTATCAATCTATGACAAAAACAGTTGTTTAAAATGATACTCTGATATTTACTTTGTTATGCACTCTGATATTTTCTATTCTAGTATTTTATACATCAGTAAAAAATTGCCTATCACAGTGCTTTATAATGATTCCATAGTCCTTGATGACTCACACACTAGAAAGTTGTTCATGAATTATTTCTATGACTCTTGTGTTCAAAAGACTTATACTACATTAATATACAAGTTCTTTTAGAAATCTGATATTACTCTACTCCCAGGGAGAACTTCTTTGTATGGAAAATTCTTGTCAATAGAACACATTGCTTTTAAATCCATAACAAAGCATTTCAAGGTAAGAGAACATTGATGTAGATTTTTATTATTTCTTGTGACTTTCTATCTTTACCCACTCCCAACTATGCCTGCCTAAACAACAAACAAACAAACAAAGAAAACATACAAAGGGGAACCCCCAAAACCAAGAATTATCTTTTGGATGTGGGTCCCTTGTAGTCCAGGGTTCCCCTGATAGGTAAGTGTTCTAGGAACCCATCAGCATTAGTCAGTGTATCAGCTAGTATTGCTCTGAGAGACTGCATTCAGCTTCAGTGAATTTTTTTTGGGGGGGTAGATTCTTTCAACACATTTGCCTATTTCATGATGGGTGATATACAAGTGCACCTGCCTGCACCATGCTGAGTGTTCAGCAGTATTTGACCAAAACAGCCTGACTCCTGTGCTCCACCCTCCTTATTCACCCAATCTCACCTCAAACGACTTTTTTTTTGTTTCCCTGCATGAAAAAAGTCCTCAAAGGGAAACATTTTGCCAATGTGGAAGAAGTGAAACAAAAATGGCAGAAGCACTGAAAGACATCGAAACTGATGAGTTCAAAAACTGTTTTGAGCAGTGGAAATAGTATCTTGGTAGGTGTATTGCACCAAATGGAGAGTGTTTTGAGGGTGACTGAAGTTTAAACATGTAAGAATAAATACACAATTTTTATAAACAAATTCTGCTTTTTTTTCAGGTCCCCTCTCAAATGTCAAATGAGAAAATTTATTATCTAGATAGGAATAAGAAATGACCATGACAATTACATGAAATGATATTTCACTTATAAATGAAGTGGCAGGGAACTTAATGCAGTTTCCAAAAATAACTTTGAAAAAAAGACGAAGGAGTAATAATAAGATAAATATTTTGATTTACAGCATTTAGATCCATACTTTATTTATTTATTTATTTATTTATTTATTTATTTATTTATTTGCGTTCACTCCATTGTCCAGGCTGGAGTGCAGTCACATGCTCATGGCCACCCCAGTGTTGAACTGCTGGGCTAGCTCCATACTTATAAAGAACCATCGATATGATACATGCTTACGGTAGGTCAATACTCAAGATAAACTTTGTCAGTTCCTTATGAGTACCTTCCCCTCACAATGTTCTAACCTCCAAGTTATTTTAGTTAAATTATAGAAAAATAAATAATACATGTTGAATAAAAAAATTTATCAAATAATTAAACACTGCCTTTTCAGATAGATGCCTGGGATTACACCTGATTCATTGCTGAATTTACCTTTAAAGATACTTTCAGTGGCTTCATCAAACCCTACCATTTCTTGCCCAGATTCTCTCAGTTGAAAAATACGAGCAACTTAGACCTCATCAGCAATTCAACTTGAACATTATAAAGCACAGGTACAAGGATTTAAAGATCAGATATTCTGACATTTACCCTAGGCTATAAGGTTAAAGAGGCAGCAAAATGTTAGTCAAGTCATATTCATGTCTTCTTATACATCTTGTGTTATATTATTTTGTATTTACAGGAACTAGAGCTTCCAGTTATGAGGATTATAATACATTGAAGCAATTAAGGATTAGTAAACTTGGCTGTATATTGGAATCAACTGGGAAACTAAAAAATGCTGGTAGCTAGGACCTACCCCCAGATCAATGAATTTGTATCTGGTATGGCGTAGGCATGGGATATTTTTAAAGCTCCACAGGTGATTATAATAAGCAGCTGAGTTTGAGAACCATTGCTCTAAACCCTTGATATCCAGTGAAAGGTCTGACGTTTAGCAGTGTCAGCTTCACCTGGAAGCTTGTTAGAAAGGGAGAAGCTTAAAATGTATCCCAGTCCTACTGACCCAGATTCACACTTTTAGGGACTCTGATCTAATCCTTTGAGAATTCTTAGTCTATAAAAGTAAAGGACTAAAACGAGTCCACCCTTTCCAACTCTAAAATTCATATTCTACAACTTAAAGAATAGACTGAGAAGCATTCTTAAACTTAGGATTCTGTACATATAAACATGAGCGAACAAGATAATTCCATCTTCTCCAATTCCACAATTTTGATACCATAAACCCAAGTAAATATAATGAAGAAATCTGTAAAAAAAAAAAGTGTCAAAATTTCATCTTATACCTTTGCATGCACTTTCTCTTGCCTTTTTCCCTTCTACCTCCTCCCCCTACACGTCATTTACGAACTAGGTAAAAATCCCACCTCACTTATAAAGCATGTCCTGAAAATTAATGTACTTTTGATCTACAATTGGATTGTCAGTATAATCACTTCCAAAAAGTGTATTTATTGTTTCTTTCTGTTATAAAATGCATATTATCTTGTTTTCCCAATTAAATTTTAAGTGTCTTTAGAGAGGAATCATGTCATGATCCTTGTTTATCCTAATCCACTATCTAATTTTATAAGTGAATTATATATTGTTAAAATGTATATAGAAAAGAACAATAGATTTTTATTAACCTCACAAATTTACTTTTTTAAGAACATTTTTTGAGAAATGTTTGACTTTTCACCTTAATGAGACTCACACATCTAGATGAATCACAATCAGCTGTGCCTTAGGACTCCCACTCTTTTCTTACTGCCACCTTGAAGTCTGCCAGGTGGATGATAAAACTGCTTTAAATAGCACAGAAACCCAACAGAACACAAAGCCCTGCACATTAGTCCTTAATATGCAACACTAGCCTTCTCATATTCTTTAGCTTCATGTCTATCTTATTCACCATCACATCTCTACCTTAGTGTTTTGCACATACTGGGCATATAAATGAATTGTAAGCAGTGTGTCAACAAACTATGCAAGACAACAGATTTCTTAAATATACTACTGAGCTCATGATTACATTTGGAAATGTAATTTTTTATGTGTCGCTCTTATATATACTTTTCTTGATATTTGTACATATTTTTTTACCACACAAATAATGCACAGGCATTGTAGAAAATACGGTCAATAAAATGAAAAACAAAAAGTAATATTTGAAATCACAAAACTCAAACAAAACATCCGTGAACACTGAGTACACATCCATCCAGACCATCAATTTATATATGAATACATATATGCTATTAAATGTACTGTATGTATTTTTTGCAACAGAGGATCATACTGTATTTACTGCTACATAACTTGCTTTTTATTCAATTAGTTATACATCAAAACATCCAGCAAATACATTTGTAATGACATTAATTTCTGGTGGTTGCATCAATAAGATGCATTGAACTTTGGAAGATGAAGTTGTTTCCACTTTTTTTGGTAATTGTACACAATAATGTAATGAATAATCTCCAGCATAAGTGTATGCCCAAACATTTCCTTAGAATAAAAATCAGGAAGTAGGTTTGCTAATTTCAAAATGTATGCACATGTTTAGAAACTGTGATAAAAATAATTACCAGATGAACATTTAGAAGTTTGTACTAGAATATCCTTTCACCAGGAGTCAGGAGTTTTCTAAATCATTTCATCAACAGTGCAGCTAACTATATTCTTGGTTATAACATTCATTAAAGAGTAGAATATAATATAAAAAATAATTGATGCAGTTGGAAAATACATTCTTTTTGAGAGTAAATTTCAGTTTGAAGAGATTGGAACTCAGAATATTGTATCTCATGTTTGAATATGGATGTAAGAACACCATCAAGTTCTTCAATGTTATTCTGTTTTTAAACGAAAAGGGAAAATATTTAGGTCAATTATTTGTATAGACACATATCTTAATGTAATATAACAAAAACTTATTAGCTGAAGTAAATACTTAGTATTCTTTAGAATTACTGCTAACTTTTTTGAAAGAATAATATAAAATTTTAGGGTCTTGCATAAGAACCAATTGTTAAGATACTTGAAAAATGCAAGAAATAAGTTTTTTGCTTTTGATTGAGTAACTATTACAGGTTAATGATAAATACTTTTTTTCAATAATAAATTATGGTAAAATATATGTTACATTTTAATGAATGAAGTAAAATAGTGAGTCTAGTTTTTCAACTTAAGGGTTAGAAGTGGAAAGGTCTTAAGTAAATTATATTATTACTATGCCTGAATGAGGGAGAATATTGATTTTGGCCTTCTCCCTCACCCCTGCAGATACAGAGTAATTGTATAGCTACTCTATTCTCCTAATCTATGTATTATGGGAGAAGTATTCAAGTGTTCTACTGTCGATGATATAAAGACTAGTAGTCTTTCAAAATTGTATTATGTCATGCTATAACTGGTATTAAATCACATTGATGATTATAGTTTAGGAGGTGGGCCCATCAATGAAGCCATGGGGTAAAGAGGGGATTATGGGGAAAAAGTTCCTAATTAAGACTTTTGAAATTATTTCCAAATAAAACTAGATATGTTGTCAATATATAGTCACAAGTTAAATGACTGGATTAAATAAAAGTTATTTTTGTTATATTTTATTTCTTCATTTTTCAGAATTCTGAGTCAGGTAATAAAATGGTTTAGGTCTTTTTGGATTTTCACAAAGTCCTGCTGAGAAGTGGAGATAAGGGCTGAAAAATACCTTTTTTAATCAATAGCTATGTAATGCAGAACACATTTATGAGCACCTAGTAAACACCATGGACTACGTAAAGCCCTTAGCTCTGGAACATATAAGAAACAAAAAACAGGAAAAATGTGACAACAAGCTCTGTCTTCAAAAAAGTCACAGTCTTGAAGAGTCCCGGGTACTGTGACAGAAAGTCACTATGGGTAAGGCACAGTGTGGGCAGAAGGAAAGTACCTTAATTCAACAAAGGTAAAAACTGGCCACAAAAGGCCTTATTGAAGAGATGGCATGAATTGAGATTGCCACGCATGCAAGGTGGATTCTAGACTAAAGAACAAATTGCATATAGGCATGGAGGTAACTTGAAGCATGACCTGGTTAAGAACTTTAGGCACTTCCATAAGAATACAGAAAAATAAGAGCAAGGAAGGAAGTGGCCTTTCACAGAGTGCCCTGTATGCCTCATAAGAAGTTTGCAATTCATCTTGCAAGCAATGAGTAGCTTTTCAGATCTATAATGTTTAATGTGGAAATATTTATTATGTGAATTAAATTAAACTTATTTTGGTTTCAGTAAAGTATGATTGTTTATGTGGTTGAGTATTGATATTGAGTGAAATATATTCTAAAAATGAAGATGTGACAATTTTATATTAGTTGATATTACTCTTTTAACCTTTTCAGAAAGCCTTTAACAGGAGTAGTGGAACAAAACATTATTGGTAATATGTTTATACTTTATACTAAAGCTCAAAAAATATATTTTAGCTATACAAACTGATGAAATGTATTTTTAAAACATGAAAATCATAATATTAGCTTGTATATTTTCTTAAAAATCTGTGTCAATGGCCATGGCAGGTCTGCATAACCTATTATCTAGTCACTAGTATTTTTACATAAAGAGATACATTTACTATTAAATATTTCTTTTTTTTTGAGTTGGAGTCTCACTCTGTCGCCCAGACTGGAGTGCAATGGCTACTCCCGGACACCGCAGCCTCGACCTGCTGGGCTCTGGTGATCCTTCTGCCTCAGCCTTCCAAGTAGCCAGAATTACAGGCTTGCGCTACCACACCTGGCTGATTTTTTGATTTATTGTAGAGATGAGGTCTCGCTGCGCAGGCGGGTCTCGAACCCACGGGCTCAGGCAATCCACTCACCTCAGCCTCCCAAAGGCACGGGATTACAGACTGAGCCACTGAGCCCGGCTTAATATTTCTTTTTAAAAGTATACAAATGTTAGTGGGTAGAGATTGGTGTGCCAGACTTATTACACTCATGTAAAACTTAGGCATAACTTCTAGAACTCCTTGAAGGTCTGAGATTCTAAAACACAGATGAAAATTCAAAGGGCAAGAACTCCCATTAGGAATATGAAAAGTGCCATTTCTCATGCAGGGACATTAAAACGCTTTCACATGAGAAATGCTACAGATAATGCCATTGATTTTAAAAACAAAGTAGCAGTGTTTTTAGAATAAGAAAAAAAACCTCACTATGTAGACAAAGACACTTAATTAATTAAGAAAGACTACAGATACCTTTAAAAATTCTAGCCTACCATAATTCATTGAATCACATTATTTCTATTTTCAATTTAATAATCGTATTTCTAGTATTATGCTTGAATATGAATAAGTAGGATAGAACACAAAACAAAGATATGAAAAGTCACAGAAATGGCTACTAAAAATAACCCCCAAAAGATTTCTTCTTAGAAGATAGTTTAACTAAAAAAACCTAATCTGAGAAGTTATGCCTCATTTTTTTTTTTGTTGTTATAAGGATGTGGAGTACAATTCAGAGTTAGGTATACAAATGTTGATTATGCATGTATCCTTGTTGATGAGGTATGCCCCTTCCTCCCCTAGCAGTTTCCCTCAAGTGCCAATCCCACCCCCACTTCTCTGACAGTTTCCCACTACTGCCAATCTCTTTCTTATAGTATTATAATTGTTCAAGTTCTACTTATGAGTGAGAACATAAGGTACTCTGTTCTTTGTTTCTGTGATAGATCACTGAGTATGATCGACTCCAAATCCATCCAAATTGCCGCAAAGTCCATGTTTGTCTTTCTTTATGGCTGCATAATATTCCATTGTGTATATGTACCACATTTTTAAAATCCAGTCCAGCTACGATGGGCAACATGGCTGGTTCCATGTTTTTGCTATTGTGAATAGAACTGCAACAAACATACATGTGCAGGTATCTTTTTTGTAGAATGATTTGAGTTCCTCCAGGTATATTCCCAATAGGGGAATTGCTGGGTCATATAGTTATGCTTCTTTTAAGATTATGTTTCAAAGACACAATAAGCATGCTTTCTGAACAATAGCCCTGAAACTTGAAAATGCCATAAATTAGAATTGTTCTTTTCTAAAAATAAAATGCACAACACCAAGAATACTTGATAAAATCGATACAATTGTTTAAAAAGAAAAATTAAATACGAAAAAGCACAATAATCCTAAGATTTTAGTTAAGGAGAAACTTGTGAAATTTAGGAGAGAATGATGAAATTATACTGGTACTATTATTTGATGATAGAAAAAATTGACATTCTGCAAAGTAGGCTTTCCCCCACTACCCCCCCATCAGGGTCTTATTCTGTTACCCAGGCTAGAGTGCAGTGGCACAATCATGGCTCACTACAGCCTCAACCTCCTGGGCTCAGGAAATCCTTCTGCCTCAGCCCCCTGAGTATCTGGGACTACAGGCATGTGCCACTAGACCTGTCTAATTTTTTGGAGGCAAGGTTTTGCTATGCTGCCTAGGCTGGTCTCAAACTTCTGGGCTCAAGCAATTCTCCATCCTTGTCTTCACAAAGTCCTGGAATTACAGGCATGGGCCACTGTGCCTGGTTTAGACTTTTTAAATGCCTACTTTTATAAATGTGAAAATCGTGGTACAAAAAATTCAATAACACTAAAAATTGCAGAGTGAGTAAGTGGTAGGATACACACTCTAACTTACGCCTTTATACTCTAAACACACTAAATTTAATACTACATTCTAATCTTGGAGAAAATAATAAACTCTGAAATAATATTTGAATAAGTAAAGAATAAATTATAGTCCCATGGTTTCAAGATGACTGCTACAGTTCAAACATTACGTTTAACCAGAGAGAGGGAAGAAAGTGGCATGTGGAGTGGGAAGTCTCAGATAAAGATACTGCCAACCATGTCTATTCTTTTTCCTTCGTAAACCAGAATCGCTAAATTTCCAAAGATTCCCCGTGTCTAAAACTCTTTCAAGTGACCATGTCTAGCTGCAAGAGGAGTTAAAAAAGGTTGAATTCTGGCCTTCCTAACTTCTGTAGTGGAGGTAGGCAAGAAAAAACATGTAAGCATTGGTACTGGGTGAAGAAACCTATAAGGTCAAAGATTATTAAAGTAATGAAAAATAATGTGGTAGAGAATTATAGCAAAAATAAAGAGATTTAATTAATAAAACAAACAATTTCAGTGAAATAACCACAAGAGGATTGGTAAATGTTCATAATAGGAGATAAAACATATTTAACAATTGTGGCATTTTACTCTTTGCTTTGAGGTATCTAAAAGGGAAGTCAATAGCTGAGCTGAAAACAGCCTGGCTCTTATTATAACAAATTGCCATGCTGTTTAAGTTTCATTAGTAAAAGAAAAGTCACCTCATTTATTCCACTGTTCATAAGCATATACTATGAAAGAGAGCCAAAATAGTCACTTAAAGTGGAATTTGCTAAATTGTTTATATAACATCTTTAAAAAATTTCCTACTGCAGCTTGTAGAGAAATGATAAGCGAAAGGGCAGAGAAAATATTTTCTAGGTTGATGCAAAGATTTTTTCCCCCGATTTTCAAGTATTCAGCTTCAAGCAGTTAGTTTAAAAGAATGTTTTAAATGGATTTCTAAGATAAAAAAGATATTTTCTTTATCAACTTAATTTTTCTGTTTGAATAAATCATTTTTAAAATTGCAATATGACTATAAATTTAAAAATAAGTATAAAAACAAAGCAGAATGCAAATGATTTTATATGTATTATTGATTAGGTATTCATATAGTTGTAGAATCTCTTTAATAACTTCAAGTGATATGATAACATAAAGAATATACGTTTTGAGATTCAAGAAACCTGTGTTTAAATGCTTGCTCCAA